CCCCCCCCCCCCCCCCCCCCCCCCCCCCCCCCCCCCCCCCCCCCCCCCCCCCCCCCCCCCCCCCCCGCCCCCCCCCCCCCCCCCCCCCCCCCGCGGTACTTTTGACAAGTACTGTAATTACTTTTCCTCTATTAAACAAAAAAAGAGTAAACTCTCTATGACAAACTGCTATAAAAAATCTTGGGAAATACTTCAGGTGTAACTCTTATATTGAGAAAACGCTGTATGAAATACTTAATTTTAGAACTTCTAGGAAAATGCTTGTAACGTTTTGATGCAAGGTCATACAGAGTTGTGCGAGGTCTTATTTTTAACAGAAACGTTCACTCGGCTTTTCGAGGCCCCTAGAAAACTTACTGAACATCCGCGAAAAACCACTTTTGTAGCAAAACAGATTCTGAAAGTGGACACTGCAGGCTATCTTCCCATGTGCTTATCTGAAAACCGACGTTTTGACCGAAAATCACCATTTCTGAGGGAGGAGGGAGCGTTAAATAGATAAGTAGGGCGAAACAAATATTTTTTGAGTTCATAATTTCACTTTCTGTGATTATTTGGTGTAGTATACATACCTCCCATACCAGCAAAGACAAGCAACTACCGAATTTAAAAGGGATCCCGCTGATTCTTCAGTCTAGAAATCTCAGGATCGTTCATGCCATAGAAGGAACTTCCTGTTCAAGTAGGTACGTACTGCTGACTATTCCTTTTTATGCAGCTTATCACGATTTTCTATAGTGAGTATTTTTAGATCAGAAGAAAAGCATTTATTGTGTTTAAGTGTGTAAAAGTCAACTTGGTAAAACTTGATAAAAATTCATCTCAAAATAGTTATTTTAAATCAACGTTGCTTTTGCTGAACTCGTAGAAGTCTGTCAGATGATAAACGGTTTTTACTAGCCATCAAATACCAGCATGCAGTTTGTTTGTGCATATATTTTACGCTGTTGTTAACTTTTACCGAAAAACAAGCTTGTTTATTAGCCGCATTGATTTCATCATGAATTCTCATTCCACTGAACGCTATCCTAACTGTTGTTAGTGGCAGATTCTGATTATCATCGTTGTCATTATCTTTTTCATCATCATCATTCAATTCTTCATTTTCATCTTCATCAGATATTGTCAGTTCATCAGCAGTCAACTCGATATCACTCTCCTCTTCTTCGTTAATTCCATCCATTTCGCTAATTTGTGAGTAATCTATTGTTCTTCCAATTTGTGGTAATTTATTCGATACGTTTTCGCTTAATTCATGTAATTCAAATGAACCGTTCTCGATCAAAATATCCAACATATCTAATTCTTCAATGAAAACTTTTGCACATTCATAAGATTCGTTTATCAATTATTCTATATTCGACATACTTATTTATTCATCACTGTTAACCAAAGATAATACTTTTCTCTCATGATGATGTTTATGAGGCACAGGATAGCTAATATGATGGTCATTTCTCGTTAAATTTTCATATGTTTTAGTTTCACCTAAAACAGCTAGTTTTTCACTTCGTTTGATAAACTCCTGTACATTAAAATTTGTTGATGATGAAAACGTTCCTGATAACGCTCTGCAATGTCGAAACGTGGCTTCGCATGATTGTGAACTAAATAAATATATATTTAATGATCCAGGTGGTAATTATTTATTCGTCACTTGCATGGTTAAATATGTTAAATTATGTGCATTTAATTCAATGGAGAAAAACGTTGGCTTTGTGATAAAAAATTTTGTTTTATCACTCTTTTTATTTTTCACTGCTGTTTTTGAATTATTTCTAGGAGCGAACGAACGTGTATTAAATGAATTACACTGAATCTACATATACCAAAATCGACACATAAAAACGGTTATCCACGCACAAAATAAATACGATCACTAACAGATGTTATTTTATCGATATATGCTAATATTGTTAAATGAACAATGGTTAAATAAAATCATGTTGCTGTTGTATTTGAATTTTCAGTTAACATACTTAATACATCTTTCGAAGATATTTTTAAACATGATGTAAAATTTTGTTTATCTTTTGGAAAAATATCGGATTTAACCAGATTATGATCGATTTTGATGAATTATCGATTAAATCTTCTAAATGTTTAATATTCACTTGTTGAGTTCCAATTAATAAAGTAGCTTTGGTTGACAATAATCTGTTTCTCAATTTTGTGCATAAATGTATCGGATCTTGCATGAAGAGTAATAGTTGTTTGCACTTTAGGAAACACCACGATGACCATTTGGCTGGAACATTAATTGCAAATAACCTATTATCATTATTGTCAATTACTGGAATATTTGGTAAATCAGCAAAAAACACACTAACAAGCCTCATAGATTTAAAATATTTTGGGCCACAGTCCGTGCTGAATCCAATAATACGAATTAATTCCTTTGCACATTCATTATAAATATATAACCAGCGTTGAATTATGTCAATAGATACTACCTTATTGTTTGTACCATACGCAGCTAAAAAGAGAACAGATATGTGGATACAAATAAAAAAGTATTAGAGAAAAATACCCAGTATGACGGAGCTGATTGTGATAAATTAGATGTTATTGGTTGAATCATATGTAAATTCAATACTGATGATTTTTCTGCTATTTTAAACCAGTTTTCTAATGTATAGAAATTATCTGTTTGGAAATAAATTGATTGTGGTACTCCATTGTTGAGCGGTGTGCAAATCCAATAAATGAATTTGAGATACGGTCATAACTTATTTTTTTCACCACGTACAGTCTTCGGCACAAAATCCATGATCAGAATTAATTCTATCTAAATGATGTTTTAACGATTTGAATCTAAATTCGCATTCAGTTATTTGAACATTGGTGCATTTCATATATGATTCTACAATTGCTATTGATGGTATGGCACCAGGTAAACTAATTCGTACAAACTCATACGCGTTTCAGCCTGCCAATATGTACAATGATAATGCAAAACGTTTAACAAACTCATTATATTGATAATTATTTTTGTTCTTTTTAAATTATTAGCAATATTCTCAATGAACGCTTTCAGAATGTATTGTCTTCATTATTAAGTGCATCAACTATTTGTTCCAATGAAGCACCATTTCCAGTATTAATATTTGATTGAATTCCATGTTTATCTTCATTAGCCTTCAATTTCAACGAATTGATCAAAAAATCAAAACTCTCTTTCACTCCCGGTCTAATAATGTAATCTCCGTTGTTCAAAGTAAATCCTGCACGTTTTTTCTAATGGGCTAATTCATCACAATTAAGATACAACATGTCTAGCGCATTTTCGACACACAATAATATTTGAGTGGAGTTTATCTCTTGTAATTGTAATATATCAGCAACAATATCACTCGTTATATTACTTACATGATCGAAAAACGTTTGGTTCTTACAAAACAAAATATCGGCTGATGCATGTAAAACGCAAGGGGGAAACAGCGGACTCCGAGTGACTCCAAGGACGTCTGGAGTCCCATGACGAATATGAGATCAAATACGTTGTTCTCTCGAATTTCTCAGAGACGAAAGCGGTGAGTAGATGAGGAAGTATATCAATAATCAAGCTAGATTGCACAAATATCTGTTTATTAAAACGAAAAATGCAGAGAAGATGTATTGAATAATCAAACTGAAGCCTAAAGATATTATGAACTTCCAATAAAAAATTATGAAATCTCACTAGAATTACAAATGAAAAAACAAAATCCTGATTTCATTCGTATATCAGTAATTTATATTAATATTGCTTCTAACCATTTAGAACTAATGAATTATGATTTAGCGCTTATCAATATTAATAAAGCACTTGAAATTAACAAAAAAATTTCCTCAAAGCAACATCCAAATTATGCACTCACTCTTGCCCTTCTTGGAAGGTTTTATGCTTGTAAAAAGAATATAAAAAGGCATTGGATATTTTTAAAGAAGCATTGGAAATATTTTTATTATCTCTTGGTCCTAACGACTCAAATGTAACAACGTTAGCTAAATATATTCATGAAGTTTGTATACAACTAGAGAAACGAGAATTGTTAAAAAATGATCCGTCTTATGAAATTGAAGAAAATGGAATTGATTTTGCAAGAGACTGGAATCTGATATCAGACGTTATTGTTAATATGGATCCATATAAGACATAAATATCTACCCAAAGACAAACAAAACATCATTTATATTTCCGAACATTTTTTAAAGCAAGATCTCACGAACAGAACACCCAAGCTCTTGTAACTTCTCAATGCTAATATCTATATCTCTAACACTCACATCACCTAAACTGGCTGAAAACTCTTGCGCATACGACAGACTCATTTTTTGGCGACATCTTCGTCAAACGTTGACAAAATGGACTTTAAGAATTCTATCGTAACTATTCCTCAACACGTCCAACATTTTTCCAGACATTCTCGCCGAGATCAGACTTGCGGTGACCGAGACAGATTTCCGACAAGAGGGAGTCTAATAGAAATTTTATTTAGGGAGTATATATAACGGTTTTTTTTCCATTTCCTCGTAAAACTGTTTAATTAATAAATAACATGCGAAAGTATCCAAAATATCTCCTGGCTGTCTATAACGCTTTTTCACCCAACTGCAATCGATTTACGAATGGATACAAACGGCGTACAAACCATCAAACCTCACTTACAAAAGACGTATTTCAAAGTCCAAATGAATTCTAAAACAAAGTATTTACACAAGCAGTCAGCTGGTTGGTTATTAACTGACAATTGTAGCCGACTATCTACCGATCGATTATCTCGAGTGATGCAGATGACTAGTAAACAGTAAAGCGTTGCTTCGTCGTCCTTTCTTGTTTATCTGCTATGACGCTGAGTTTATTGAAGATTTAACGATTGAAAACAATAGGTCTAATTAAACAATCTATAAGACATTGAGACATGTTCTTCTTTCAAACAAGATAAGACAATGCTAGAAGCTCAACATCAACTTTAAATCATTTGAAAGCAGGAAATAAACGACAAAACTGATATATCGCCAACCGAAGTATGTTCTCATTTGTTAACAGAATCGAGCGTTACACATTATCGCTTTGAGACCAGCATCATCAGATAAATAGTTTAGAAATTGAATCATAATATCTCTATTGACAACGAAAAAATTTCACACTGAACAGCGAGCGTGGTCACAAATCGCACTGAACCACGAATTAAAAACCACAGGAAACATCTTTTGTTGTGCCAAAACAATCAAGCTATTGAAATACATTGAAAGTAAATCAGTTAAAGAACCTGAACGGCGTTTCTACTGGGACTCGAAGGCACTCCAACGGACTCCAAGGGATTGGAGTTCGCTGTTTCCCCCTTGGTAAAACGCCACATATTCTAAAATTAATTTGATCTAAAAAGAAACGGTAGATTTTACATCATGCATTTTTTAGATGAAGTTTGGATTAATTTCTTCAAAAGCACCTGCAGTAACTTTTAGAGAAGTTTTTATTCTAAATTAAGTATAAAACCAGTAAAAACACAAGCACATCAAAAATCTTGCTCTTCTTCTCTTTCTCTTAGTTTCTTGATTATGAAGAAGAAAAAATTAAGAACAGAGGAGAAGTCCTTTTTAAACTTGCTGGTATTACTGATGGTGGTAATGATGCAAATGATGCAAATGAAGATTGTTGCTGTTGACGTTTACGTCGATCATTCTTCTCTTTTTCTTTTTTACACATCATTAAACACTTTGTTCCTCGAATATGTTTGTAATACGATGACAATTGAAATGATTTCGTATCTGCACACAATGGTAAAGCAAATTTGGTTCCGCAATCACATTTCATATGACCTAAGATGTTTGAATTATGTGTATCTTGCTTCACGATTATTTTATCATCTAAATTATGGATTAATTCAATCTCATCTAAGTTTTTCTTATATCATGATTGTATCATATCTTCTACATTATCTTTACGTTGCTCACAAGTTAACGTTGATGTGATCGAAATAGATGACTGAGTGTGAACAATTGATGGTTGAACGACTAATGAGGATGAAGGTACCGCATTAGAAGCGAGAGAATTACCGGAAGAAGATACTGGTGTCACGGTTATTGTTTGATTGGTTGTGCATTTCTGCTGGATTTTTGATTCTTTCGTATGTTTCTTTTCAATTTCCTTTAACTTATAAATTAAGTATTTCATACTGCCCTTAATACCGTTTTTAACAGCATGACCACCCGATTTCAAAAAAAATACAGCACGTCTTTTAATATCAGCTAGTTCATCACAATCATATTCTAATATTGACAATGGACCATCGCAACATAATAATGCACGAGTTGAACAAATTTCTTATACTTGTAGAATATCAACAATAATATCATTTGTTTTCTCACGTACATAATCAAAAAAATCGGCTCCAGAAAGTGACAAGGCATCAATATCAGACATTTTAACAATTTCGATAAGTGCGAAAAAGGACAAGAGCTAAAAATAATATGACTATGTTTAACAATGAATAATAAATCGAAGGAGGAGAAAATAAAAGCAGAAAGAAAACGAAAACGAAATGATTTACCAAATCTTTTTAAAAACTGGTTTTTCGATTTTTGTAATGTTTTGTGTAATAGGAGAAGCAGATGAAATAAAGCGACAGGCGTAGAAAAATGAATAAAAATAAATGATAATGAATACGGCACAATGTTGCTTGATTAAATAATAAAACTTTTAACAGAAAAATATGTGTATTTAAAAATATGACGGTGACTTTTAAAAACAGAAAACGGCGAATATACACGAGGATATAAACACGTTTTAAATTATCTTCATCAGTAAATAAATGCTAGTGAAATGGTGGCTGCTATTGGAATAAACGCATCTTATATAAATTTTCTGAACAAGCACAGTAGAAAGAGACAGACGAGTAGAAAAAAGAAACAGAGATACTGTTTCAAGAGAAAGTGAAATTTATGAAAGAATTTTCTGAAAATGGGGAGATGTTTTTCAAGGGAGAGTGAAGTTTTCCAAAAATGTGAGAGTGAAATTGTTTTTGTTACTAGGGCACTCCGACAGTATGTATGACAGAAGAATTACGAATGATATATCTACAGTTCATTTTTCATGATAGTAACTCGTGCAGCGGAGAAAGATTAACATCGGTAAGTCTGGAATATATATATTATTTTTAGAAACTGTGTTTTATATAAAAAGGGAAGAATTTTGGAGAAAACTTATTACGCTTATACTAAAAAATCGCTGAAAACGCTTAGATTTTGGCAAAAATCGGAATTCAGGAAATCATATGGGGGTCCTATTTGATCACGGCGAGTGATCGAAACAGGGGTCTCTTGTTCACATATCACGTAGTCCTATTCCATCGGATGATGTTCGTAAATGATGATGATGTACAATAAAGGAGGATGTTTTTCTAAATTGACTTCTGTGAGTCCTATTTTACTTTCTTTCCCGGTCGGATCCCATTTTACACTTTCAGAAACGATTGTATCAGCACCGATCCCCATGGATCCGCTTGGATCCGCCTTTTCCCCCTTGCATTTTTCCGAGATCGTTTCTGTCTTTTTTTCCTTCCGAGATCTATTCTGCTAATTTCCCGAGATCTTTTCTGATTTTATCCTATATTTATTTTTGTGTGATGATGTATCGTACACACATTATACACTTTTATTTCCCATAAAAACAAAGCTAATTAAAGAGAATAGTGAGAGCTACTCTAATTTTTCAGGATAATAATGACAGAGTGAATACGTTGTCACATATGGATTACATCCGTATTTATAATGAATATATTCCACGTCTTTATGTAAAAAATAGTCCTTTGGATTACAGACGAGTTTTGTTGTATAAGGACAAACGTACTCTCGTTTATGAAAGTAGCCGATGTCTCGAAAACGAACAATTTCATTTCGTTTTAAAAATTGTGATATTATCAATGTATGAATAGGAGCATCGCCCCATCGATATTTGTAAATGCCACCTAATCTATCGATATATGTTAAAAAATTCAAGATTTGTGGTTGTTGCCATAAATCAGTCTTAATCACGGCAAAATTATTGTACATTATGTCCATATTATATTGTCCAAATAGATTTGTTTGTGCTCGACGAATATTCTCTGATGGTGAAAGACAATACAGTTTTAGATAATCGGTGAAGATTTTCCACAGATTGCTGACATAATAATCATCGTCTTCATCTACCAGTAGAAATCCGTATTTGAACTTATTTATTCTCATATATTCGAAAAGATCGTAGCTGATGTTAGTCATGATATACGAGTGTGAATCGAGACGCCAATAATAGTCGAAATAGCTTAGAATGGGATGTTTTGTTAGCATGATAGCGTTTAACTGACACATATGAGAGTAGCCTAGTGGCCATTTCTTATGAGAAGAGGAGTATTCGGATTGAACAAATTTTATCTGTTCAAATGTGATAGGCACATTGTGAACATTAGAAGCTAATTCTCGTTGATCATTTTCTTTCAAGTCACCCTCATGAAAAATAATAATTGGATAATGAGAGTAATATTTGAGAAAATGTTTATAAATTGATTGTAGTGAGACGTTTAAATAAAAAATGTGTGATTTTTTCATAAGATAATAGACGCAACCGTTTTGCGGCTCAATTGTGCTGCTTTTCTTCAGATTCCATCGAGTTAACCATTTTCGATGGAAATAGTGTCGATTATGATCATCCCAACAGTACCAAGTTTTCGAATGTTGATTGAAATATAACCACGTTGAACAGTTATACGAAGTATGTGGAGAAGTTGAACGAACGTTCTGACTGGTATCTGTACTGACATTTAATGATGAGGAGGAGCAGTGTGAGTAAGTAATAGAGTAATAAATATCACCGAAAAAAGTTGAGTATAACAATGATACGGAGAACAAAACAAGTGTGAGAATATAAAATAATTTTTTTCTCAAACGTAACTTAGTTTTTCGTCGTAAATGAACCATGAATGAATGATGGTGTACCGAAAAAGGTTCTTTCTGTGATTAATAATAAAATTTGGTTATGCATATATTTCTTTTTCTATACAGAAAAATGTAAAGTGCATAGTAGTCAGTCGGTCAACCACGCGTAACTGTCAAAACGGTAGTTTTTTTAAATATTCTAAACTAATGGACATACTCTATACTATCCTCCTTTTCTTATTCAGTCCGAGTGCCTATATAATACAAGTATAGTGAAGTAGCATTTTCTGTACTGATTCTATTATACTGTTAAATTGCGAGACTTAAAATGCTTCTAATTTAGCTTTTTCTAAATAAATTTTCAAAAGGAGTTTTTGTTTTTGTTGATTTTTTAACTATGACGCATCTTTATCGAGATAGACGTTTATTAATAGCCTCGCGGTAGGCACATCTTTTGGCTAAAACGTCAGATAATAGCGAAAGACAGTAATGAATTTGATATTTCTGTTATTCGATCTTCGATTTTATTTCGTTTACAGTTTCTCGGTAAGTATAAAAAGTACGAACATAATTTTCTTTTTAATCATGAAATGGCAACGTTTTAATACAAATTTTAGTTTCTAGTGACATACGATCCATAGGAAAATAATAATTTACCATGAGATCATCCAATCAGATCTTTTTGATTAAAAAGGGATATCGGAGCAAGAATGTAACTCTGTAAAGACGAAATACGTTTTCAATATATTATACATCAATCAATTCCTTACTGAAAGGTGAAGCTTTTGAGCAAAGTGCGCTTTTTTTTCTGTTATTCTCATAAGAAATTTTGATTTCGGCATCCACATCACTGTTGGTTATAAGACGTCATTTTTGGCGTTACATAATATGTCAGATTTATCATTTAAAGACTATTCTTGCTGACAAAAGCCTGCTTGCTCAATGTCAAATCTTGACTATTGTCAGAATGACAAAGATCCGATTAACCAACATTTACCTCGAGAAGAAAGTAAACTATATGCGCATCCAATATCAACTGAAAACTTTTTTCATTCGACATTCGCCTTGAACAAGAACCACGACAAGCATTCAGCACCCATTCTCCAATCATGAACTTACACATACTCGATAAAATTTGACAACAGAAAGCAATAGCATATTTCGCTCTCAGCGTTTTATTCTCTTAAATACCGTCTCAGCAATAGAACTAGGGGGTTGTTTCACAGAAATTCTTGAGTCATCGTCTTAAGTCCATGTCTTATCTTAATTTGAGCAAACTTAAGTTGACGAACTTAAAGTGTTGCACAACTTCAAACTTAAGTTTGTCTTAAAGTTAAGTGCACAACTTAGTCGCACGGTCTTAAGTTAAGTCCGTGCACTTAACTGGTGCATAGATACATTGCAATCTACTGTCCTTTTTCCAAAAAGAATAGAGTTCGTGATAGTTTGATATGGCACGAACGTATGAAAAATGAAAAATATGGGAAAAAAATTGAAAATCGCAATGATTCATTTATAATATCAATCACATATCCATAGATAAATTGTATTTGAATAACCAGCGACTAAATGGTGCCTGAGTCAGGTGCTTCTTATCAGGGACGCCTGACAACAAACTGTTAATGAATATATGAAAAATTTCTAAGTCAAAAGCACAACTTTCTTCCACTTTTGCATCCTTTGGTGCCTGATACTGAGCGGATTTTGGAAAAAGGATGCTCAATAGTCATGATCTTTAGTACCTGGAGAATTGTTTCCCGCTTCCAGAAATTCTCTACAACATTGTGTGCGCATTTTTCAAAAAAATGTGACTAAACGAAAAAAGGAAAGAAAAAACTCCGACCAATCGCATAATGTCTGTCGACATAAAAACATGTTTTATTGCTATTGTAGCTATCCAGAAGCCTATAGTTTCTCCAGAATTTAATTTTCTCTTAACCAGATGTTTTTTCGTACTCGAACATCATTCATTAAATGACTTTTCTCTGATGGCGGAGTCGTTTCGTTGAACAAAACTCTTTTTAACAGAGTGATGTGCTGGTTTAAGGACCCACTCTGCAAAAAACTTTTCTACGGATTTGAACGAAACTTGTAAAACTAAAGTTCATAATGTGAACAGGTTATGATAAAAATGTTTGGCTATCATCTACGAACATTTCGGGTTGAAAGCCCAAAATTGTTAACTGTTGCAACCCAAACATCTGCAGTTTTCTCTGAAACAACGTCGAAATTGAAAAACCTGTTTTTCTTATATTGTCCAATTTTGTTCAGGCTTTCACGAACAAAAATATCTTGATACGTAAAATTTAGAACAAATTTGAATTTCTGACAGTTCATGAAAGGAGAAGGAAAGTAGGTCATATAAATTATATTTTGAGAGTACAACAATAGGTCTTTTAGTGGAGTACATTTAAGCAAATTTGAGTGCATATTGAAAAAATGATATTTAGTGTAACGTCACCTTTTTGTAGTATAAGGGTAGAATTAATACCGAAAATGCTTTATAATGATGAAATATAGCTAATCAAGATTTTAGTATAAAGCGTCTTGCCGTTAAAAGTATCTTCATTTTTTCTCCGTTGTAGACACATGCTAGATACAATAAGACATTTTTGTGTCCAGGACACATTGGAGGCACTTATAAGACACATTAATTGAAAACGATAACCCGCCGTCAATAAATCGTCTGTCATGATTTCCATAGAATTTTGTCTGTCAAAAAAAATTCTTTCACGGCGTAACGCCCTTCTCAACAACCACCGATTAACTAGCGCCATTAATTCTTTAATTTCTTTTCTTTTATTTATTTAAATATAAGTGTCAATAAAAACTAGTTAAAAAATGTTATTTGTTTAACTTTTGCTGTGCTTATAATATGATATAAAAATTGAAGAATTAGAGTAAGACAAACTTAAGACACTTACGGACTAGTCTTAACTTAAGCGTGGACTTAAGTCTAACTTAAGTTAAGTCTATGATTTAAGAATTTTTGTGAAACACTCAAAATTAAGTCTAACTTAACTTAAGACAAAACGGAGACTTAAGTATGACTTAAGTCTAAGTCAAGGACTTAAGAATTTCTGTGAAACACCCTCCAGGCCTTACCTTAAGGCTTGATTTGCTATTGTTAAATGTACATCTCTCAAAAGAAGAATATACATCGGTACATCGTGCAGTTATACATTTTATTTGTACAACAAGAAGATTTGAAGAAGACTAGTGCGTCTCTGTTTATTTTTATTTTTTACTATTGTCTTTCTTTTTCTTTTACCCTGGATTTCTCTCTCTGTTTAATCTAGTACGTGTTCTCTTTATTTTCTCTAGTACTTTTGCTTCTTTCTTCCATTCGACTATATATTTGTTTTATTTTTATCCTTCACTCAGCTGTTTTATCTTTTTGAATTGATCTATGTTCCTTGTGTCACCATCAATAATAATGGGGACTCGTTCCCTCTTGTGCTGGACACAAGTACATGAATTTGTTTCTTTCAATAAATAGCTTATAACAATAGCATATTTTGCAACTGGATCGGCCAATCTATTCGAAAGTAAAAAGAATTGAAAATGTTCAATAAAGAGCAAAAATTATTTAAAATACAAATATAAGAATCAAATTACTTTTATTAAAAAATTCCGTGTATTTTTCACGGACCGTTCTAATTATCCCACCCATTTGTAAGTACTTTTCTAATTTTTCGCATGTGGGGAATTAGAACAGTCGAGACCAGTCAACCGCAGATCAGCTCTTCATCCTGACGGAAATCGCATTTGGAAAAACGTAAACAACCATTCGACAGAAAAGTATCTCCTCTGCAACTCTTACCAAGAAACTACCCAAAAATTTAAGCGAACTGAGAGAGAACAAAAATACAACGATTTAAAAAAATACTATTCTAATTAATATTCTAATTAAGTATTTTATATATTAATTAATATATTAAATACAATATTACACAAGTGAACAATCTTTACGCGGTACACGTGTGAAGATTTTTCACGCGTAGCTACGCGTGTGATGTTGCAACAAGGCGACCAAACTGTCGCGAAACTTGCTGTTTTTACCTACAAAATTTCGTGAAAATCGAAGCTGATATTTCACGGCCCCTCGCGCGTGATAAGTCCAAAAAATTTCCCCATGGTGCCGTCTGAAAACCTGTCCGAAAACTTTTCAATGTCTATAGTTCGTCTGAAAACTTCTCTGCACAGTTATAGCCAAAACTCCCTTTTCTTGCTCATTCTTCGAGTCTTTTTATCTAGCCTTCTTGACATGAGAAGCATTTTTTGAGATGGAAAAACATTATTAAAAAAAAAGAGATTAAAAGGTAGACGTTTCCTGGACCTTGTTCCGAGAACTAGTCACAGCTGGTTTTTGACATGAACCAGATCCTTCGTGGGTTTCATGAGCTTTTTGAACTTCTTGGATTTCGTGAGCCATGTTTTATCTAAACAGACTGTATAAAGTGGAATGCTGCTAATAATTATTCGCATACTACTCGGATCACCAGAGGAGTACGTAGGCGGCATTTAGCATGCTTACACTTTAGCAGTTTGAAGATTTTTCACGCGTAGCCACATCACACACGTGGTCATCACACGCATGGCTAACCTATGGGAAGTCCGCACTACTTCGAATCGAAGAGAAAGAACGACAGTTATAGTGTGAAACTTTATCTATCCAACATGAAAGACCCGTTTTAAACTTACCCGTTTCTACTACCATGATTTTCCGGCTTTCTCTTCGGGTCATGATAGCCAGAGATAATGTGTGTCCAGATGGGTGAAAAAAATAATGAAGTAAGAATCATTTTTTCCAAAGATAGACCCATCTTGTTCTAGATCTTTGTTATAAGAGCGAATCTCCACGGTATTTATACACTGCCTTCTCTGTGTTACTTCCGCTTAGTGCTGTAAACAGAAAAAAACTTCTTTCTTCCAACTTGGCGACAAATTAATCTCATAACATAATTACTGGCTGATTGTTTACCAGTAACACACAATATATAAAGTTAAAATTGTTCTTCCTTTTCACAATGTTTCATGTGTAAAGCAGGCACGCAACAGTTCTTTTTACGTATTTTTCAAAAAAATGGTTTGTATTTTCGCAACATCTCAGTCAGTCACCTATATGTCTTGAAAATTCGTTTAAACGCGGTTTTAGCATTCATAGAGCGCGAGAATATACAGTTTTACCATGAATACGACGAATTTCTTGAGCTTTAAATATACGCCTTAATCAAAATGGCGTTTTTGCCATCAATAATTCGCGAGAACCGTGTTTATGACCATCATAACTTTTTAAAAACGCGTTTTCAGCAATAGACTTTAATACTCGCAAACGGCACCGAACTTTTTGCGGTTTGGAGTCAATTGAAACGAATTTAACGCGTTTTGGCTAGAAATGAAATTTGAAAAACGCGTTTTACTTTTTCAAAGTTTATAAGATTCGTTTCGTTGACCGAAGTCGCGAAATTAGGCATTTCTATAACAAATAATTGAGTGAAAACCCTCTTTTTAACGGACTGCAACGCGACAAACGCGAGATTGGCTGAAAAACCGCGAGAAAACGAATTTTCTGAAAAAAGCGCAAGAAAACGCGAGGTTAGCTTCAAAGTGTTAGGTTCCCGGATGAACTAAGATCTTTCTCACCTAACGTTTATTTGCAAATAGAAAAAGATCCCTCTTAACAATAAAATGTATTTATATAAGAAATGTTGCGTAAGAATCTTGAGTAGACTCTGCGCAATAAACTTGACCATAGTCTTACACCATAACCTTGAATATATTCGTGCGCAATAACTTAGACTATATCTTTGCGCAATAATCTTCACTACGATCTTCTCCCTTATAGCACGACTCCAGTACGTGACATAACACAAAGTATCGCGCGAAACTCAGTTTAAGAAAAATTTAGCGCGTTTAACGCAACCTACGATTACCTCAAACGCGTTTCTGGCGCTTTTTTTTAAACGAATTCCTCGCGGTAAAGGTTTCGTAAACAGAGTTTCGCGCGATATTTTGAAGCTAAACTCGCGTTAAAACGAATTTTCAAAACATATAGGTGACTGACTAGGATCG